TAGATGACATCATAGGCCTTCTTATCATCAACTTCCTGAGTAGCTTCCTCAAAAAACTCCAACAGATTTGTTAAACAGGATCTGCCTCTTCTAAATCCATGCTGGCTATCCCTCAAAATGTTATTTTGCTAGACTCTCAAGAACAGTGGCTGAAATCCAGCAGAACACAGGTATGTGGCACATGATGAAGAGGCTCTTTGATGATTTCACATGTGTGATAATCCTGCTGGCCAGACTCTGATCACTAAATCTCTTCCTGAAATATTCCTCCTTCTGGGCATCATTGAAACCTCTTATCTCTGTCACCTGGTGGATACACTCAGGAGGTACTGTATCTGATTGGCTGCTGCAGGCCAGGAGGTTATCCAGAGGAGAGCTGATGGAAGCAGATTCCCCTTAATGAGGCTAGTCAACAGCACATCCAGTGATGTTTTCTTTGTTACATCAAACCAACTCTCATTGTTCTGAAAATCTAGAGGAAGGCGACACTCATCCAGACCATCAAAAATGAACGAGACTTTGTACCTATACAGCTCAGTGGATTTAACTGGTTTCAGTTCTGTGAGAAAGTGATGAAGCAGATCAATCAGACTGTATTCATCCTTAATCAAATTCAGGTCACGGAAAGGAAGAGCAAATATGAAGTGAATGTCCTGGTTTGCTTCTCCTTCTGCCCAGTCAAGAATAAATTTCTGCACCGAGACCGTTTTCCCGATACCTGCCACCCCTTTAGTGAGTACAGTCCTGATAGGTGTCTCACACCCACATAAGGGTTTAAATACATCATCATCGGACAGATCCTCAGACACTTCAAGAGATGGGCGAGACTTGGACACCTCACAGTCAATTACTCCCTGTAGCTCTGTCAGCAGACAGCAGATTTCCACCGCTTATTTGGGGGTCCGAGCCAGGGTTGAGCTTGGAGTGCCTTGTGTTCACCGACTGGAAGAGATCCACAGTTTTGTGGATCCTCCACACCACGGGGTTTCCCCTCAGTTTCAGGGTGAGGTCAAGTAGGGCGAAGAAACCTTCCACATGAAGAGAAGGTGTCTCCCGGGGACTTTGCAGTCCCCTCAGTCTCTGGGGCACTCAGGGTATCCAATCTGCCGGATGAATAGATCTGCATAAACCGGAGCGGGGGTGCAGACTGTCGCCCACTCCGACAGGGAAGACTCCCCACTAGATGACCTGGAATAGGACCCCTCTGTTCTGGCCCTAAGTCCCGCTCCACGAGCCCCAGTCCAGAACCCATGCCTCTCCTACCCTTGTGATAACCCCCTCTGCCCCTTCAGGTCTTGGCATGTCAGTGCATGGGCAGGGGGGGGGCTGGTTAGGTTAATACCATTATTGAGTGCACCTGTAGGGAGGGTGGCGTTATAAAAGGGCTTCCCATCTCTCTCTCAGGGGACACTTTTCTTCATCCGTGCCTTTTGACTTTCCTCCTTGCACTGGCATATTTCTTTTTCTCTCTTCCCTTAATTCTTTATCTTTTTGTCTCTCTATATATATATCTAACATACTGACTCTTCCATTGCATCCAGTAAATATATTAACATTCCCCTGGACATTATTGTTTATTGTTGGTCTAATTTCAATAAACTGCAGTTTTGCTTTAAAACTTAAACTTCAGTTGTCATGTTCCTTTTTATGCTATGGTGTGGAACGAGTCTGCCATAACACTCTAGGGTCCGGAGAGGCTCCTGATACAGAGGGAGATGTAAGAAGAGACTCAGCTGGGTCTCCACCTCCCAGAGAAGGAAGTGAGGGGACGCCACCAGGGGGGGTCGGTCCCGAGTGCATCTTAGTTTCCGCCTCAGTCTCTGTTCTTGCCTGGCAGACTCCACTGCTCCCAGTCCTGCAGCCCTGGCGGCGCCTCTCAGCCCCAGCTCTACTGTCCCCTTGGCTCCCCCTGGTCCTGCTGGCCTCCCGAAGCCCGGGGGGGCTTGTGTTCCGGGGTCGACACCCCGCTTCCCGGGGTCCAGAGGACCTCCTAGCTCGGCCCTGTTCCCTCATTCCCCATCTCAGCTTTTGCCCCAGTGCCCTGTCCCGCCTTTCCTACTCCCTGGTGTGTGGTTCCCCCCTGGTTGCCTGGTCCTCACCCTGGTGACCCTTCACTTGTCCACCCTGTTCTGGTCCATGTTGTGTTCCATGGTTACTGTGTTGCCCCTGTCTCATCTCATGTCTCTCTTGTTAGTCCCTGCTCGTTTGGTACCGCTGTACTCAATTGATGTTTCAGCCTGTCGTGTCTGGTCATACAGTGTCCTGTTGGCCCTTGTCCAATCTGGTGTGCCTTTTGTTTCTTGCCTTGCTGTTTGGGCCCTGTAGGTCCCCTCCTTGGTCTGCCATGCGCGCCCAGAGTACACGGGTTGGGGGGGGGAAGCTGTCACGCCCTGTATCCCTGCCCCTCTCATTCTCCCTCCAGTGTGGCTTGATAGAGCCACACCTATTGTTCACTTGTGTTGCCGCTCGTTTCAGCCCTCATTTGGATCACTCCAGCTGCCCCTCAACTGCTCCCTCATTTGTTGTGTATAACAGTGCCTCCCAGTCCTGTGTTCCTCAGTCCTGAGGTCATTGATGTCGCCCCAGTGTGTGTGCAGTAAGGCCTGGGTGAGATCAGTTTTGCTAAACTTCTTTCCACTATGCAATCAGAAATCAGTCCTTCAATAAGAAAAGTAGGTACTATTCATCAGTTAGTACCGGGTGTAAAGTCACATTAAAGGCCCCTCACAAGCAAGCTGATCTATCTGCTTTTATAATCCAGCACCAATGGTGTTGTCCATTGCCTGTGTGGTATCAGTACAATGACCCCAGTCGCAAGCAGTCTGTTTCTATTTTTTTGATAGTTGCAATGCATATTTTCATTCGGATACTTAATTTGCATGTGTTTTTCAAAATTTTAATGAATTCTCCTGGCACAAAATTAACTCCATACCTGTCACATTCAAAAAAATTGCCATGACCAGCTCCTCTTTAACGGCATTAGCTTGGACCAAAAAATCTGAACCCTTCACAATAAGCAGCCCAGCTCTCATAGTTTCAACAGACTGTTGGATAGCTTTGGTCAAAAAGAATTTTATTACTTTATATATAAATTGGTCATTTATCTTCCTGATTAGCATGTTTGTTTTCACTGATATCAGTTGAATCACTCTAATGTCACTCTCCCCTCTTCCAAATGCTACCAGGCACAGTGGCAAAACATCCACAATGTCGGCCGTCAAACTCCACCATTCGCAGGAGTGAACAGCAGCACAAAGTCTGTTCCAGTCGCCAGTGAGTGTTTGCATTCAGCTCACTGCATGTCCATATTTCATCTAAAACAGTGTTTCTCAGCACAGTTCTGGGGACCCCAGACAGGCCATATATTTGCTCCCACCCAGCTCCCAACACAGAGGGATGGGTTGAGAAACATCCTTTGTGTGTGTGGCAGAGTGATCTACAATACCCTTTTTATAAATAGCGGACTACGCCACCCCAGGGACACCGCACCCGGGGACAAAGATGATAACCCAACTCAACTGCAGCACACAGGTTCGATTCACTGGAAAGGGCCAGAGACGTGAATCAGTAAAAGTTTATTACATCCCATGGAAGATTCAATAATCCACACTACACACAATAAAGCTAAAACCCCTTTGGCACCCAACCCCTGCAGCAAACCACACCAGATCAAACTGGTCCCCAGACCAGGATTGCTCCACAGGAGCACAGAACCACACACACATGCTTAGTGAGCTAATACCAGTGACTTATACTGCACATGCACACGGGTGAGGTCCACCACCAACCAGGAGGGTGCCACGCAAGGCTACTAGCCCTGAAACAGCGAAAAGACAAGACACCAGGTTAGTATCGTACAGCCGCTAAAATACAAAAATCACAGCAAAACAAGATAAATTAAAACAAACCAAAAAAAAAACACATAATCAATCCATACAATATAATAAATCAAACCAAAGGAAAACCAAATTACAAAATCTTGAGGCAGTATATAGGCTATCCGCAGAGATCGGCAGCAGAACGGCACCGCACCAAGAAGCTCCAGGCACCAAGGTTCCATGCTGGGCTACCCCCACGAGCCCCCCATGCTCCACAGGATACACCGATGTCGATCGTGTGTAGACAGACAGACAAAACAAAAAACAGCGGCGAGGTCCACATTCCCAGTAAACCTGCAATATATTAAAATAATTACAGGGCACACTAACAAATAAATAAATACTCCCGTTAATATCCCCGATATACCTACCACCAGCCTGAGGACTTATAACACTGCTGGGGCTGCTTTCACCACCTCCACAACTACAAAAACACAAGCTGCTTAATAACGGTAGGTACAATCGCGGGGCACATATTAAAACCGAGGCTTACCGGCAACAGGACACAGCTCCCCAAAGGCGTGCATTACACCGACTGCGCTATCCCCAACATACCACATCAATGGTTAAGGGATGAGAACGAATGTGACAGTCAACCTCCTGCGCACTCACACCACGGCTGCTACCTCCACCGCCAGCAACAGGAACCGCGTCAGCGCCATACCTAGCCCTCCACCCCCTATATACAGCACTAAGTCACGCCCAACACACAAGGGAACCAATAGGGCGAAGGAATCAATATTCCCCACTTGGCTACATGTGAAACATGGTTTAATATTGTAGGGAGGACAAGTGATTTAGTCAGTTTGACACGCTTAATGTCGGCTATGCTGACCATCAAGTATTTAGAGGAAGGACATCTGGTAAAACAATATGGGCTGATAGGCTTTAGGCAGGATTTTATATATAAGCCACATATTTTCGTTTCTACTCATTTTAATTTTATTTCCGTTAATTATGGATTTTGTTGTTTTAATTTCAGTTTAGGTTTTGTGTCTCATGCTTTTGCTTTCAATTGTGATTAATGAAATGCTTTTATCATCATTTTAGTTTCAGTGTGCATCACATAAATATAACATCAGAAATAATTTAAATATCACCTTTGGTAAAGAAAGCAATTGCTTGTTTTTTTTTTGGCAATTGACTTAAGACATAGTAATTAATTATTTACAGGCAGCGTTAATATGAGGGTGGTGCAGGATTTGTATGAGGGCGTGCATAAATGAGAGGGAAGGTGATGGAATGGTGTGGTGGCCAGGAGTAGGAGCAGTGAAGGTGGATGAGATTAGATATTTGGGGTCAACTGTCCAAAGTAATGCAGAGTGCCGTAAAAAAGTGAAGAAGAGGATACAGGCAGGGTGGAGTGGGTGGGGAAGAGTGGCAGGAGTGATGTGTGACAGAAGGGTATCTGCAGGGGGTGTCTTGTGTTTGTTTAAATGCACATTTACCTTTGATCTGTAGGGATTAAAAGTCCCTCACTGAAGTTGATTGGTTTCCTCATTGACCTGCCACTCTTCATGGAAACACAGCTGGGTACGGGGGAGTCTGCACTCTTCATCAGGACACTGTGGACAGTGAGAGGAAAATCATCATTATTTAATCATAGTGCATCATAATTCACATATTCAGCTATTTAGCCTCCTGCTCTGCCTTCATGTACTTTTATATGTCATATAACTCATGATGCAAACAAGCTTGCTTACAGTTAACTTTAATATGAAATAGTTTCAGATAAAAATAAGATTCCAATATGAAAGGTTTAGTATCATTGTTACAATCTCAGTTGCTAGACTTGGCTGTTGTTGCTTTTTATTCCTGTTTATTGATTTATTTGTTTATATGTTTATTGGTTTGTTTATGCTCTACTTCATTATCTGTGACCATTTATGATAGGAAGGATGATCTGTTTGTTCCCTCTAGTATAAAAGAACTGGTTGATTGGGGAAGAAAAAGGAGGAGAAAGAAGATGTCGAGGTCTTTTTATTAATCTACACGTATTAACGTGTTCCACACTGAGCCAGCCCTAGCTAGGAGCCCTTTCTGCTTTTATATTATGGCCTGACTATAGACCCAAAGAGACATGCAGCTAGTGGACTGTAACAATCATTTTACCATAAATCACAATGTTCTTCACAACACGACCCTGACAGTATTCCTGTCTCATTCAGGTATCTCTAAACAGGACGGTTTGGAGACAAAGTAAGAGAACATAAGAACATAAGAGGTGAGATTAAGATGGTTTGGGCATGTGCAGAGGAGGGAGGCCAGGCAAGGGGAGAAGAGGAAAAGCAACGAGAAAGTATATGGATGTGGGGAGGGAGGACATGCGGGTGGTTGGAGAGATAGAAGAAGATCCAGAGAAGAGAGTGAGATGGAGACGGATGATCACCTGAGGTGACGACTAACGGGAGCAGCTGGAAGCAGAAGGAGGAGGAGGAGGAGGAGGAGAAGAAGAAGCCCGGTCAATTAAACATGTTTAAAATGAAGGCTCCATCTGAGCAAATCTAATCAGTCCATAAGAAAGCATTTATTATTATCAGAGCAGAAACATCCATCCCAGAAGAGGACAATCTATTGTCCAGTCCTTCTTAATCAATATACAGCAATGTGCAAGTGAGCCTTTAATTTTCCTGCTTTATGCTGAGGATTGCCATTTACAATGTACTTTTCAATTAATTAACTTCCAATTTCAGCTCGCAGAAAGTCAGTCTTTACAGGAATCTGCATCCTTTTACTTCAAGTGTAATTTATATAGAATACAGTCAGAACTTCTGTTTAAACTCTCAAAGACAATGGGATTTGAAAAAGTTTAAAATATGATACATTCATTATAAAGCTTTTACCTCATAGCTTGTGTGAGCCTGTACGCCTTTTGACTGAGAATCTTAGTGTTATAAACAGTGTTTGTTTAAATGCACATTTACCTTTGATCTGTAGGAAAAGGTCCCTCAATGAAGTTGATTAGTTTCCTCATTGACCTGCCACTCTTCATGGAAACACAGCTGGGTATAGGTGAACCTGCTCTCTCCATCAGGACACTGTGGACATCGAGAGGAAAAATCCTCATTATATAAATGTAATCCATACAATGTGGACAGGGTCAGATTAAATCTTCAGCTGTTTAGCCTCCTACTC